TAAATGCAACCACTCTATGCACAGCACATGTTGTATTTTACTCAACTGCTGAACTACTTCTACCTTAGAAAGGAAATAGAGATGAAGAGAGGGAGGAGCATACCATTATAATTCCACCACATATTCTATTCTTTCTTTTTTTTTCCTTTTCACAGTTGTTCCTTGCATTTTCGAAGTAGCTCATCTTAATACCTTTTATGTCCAGTTCTCATGAAGCTTCTTGGAAGAGAGCAGCAGATTTACTGGTGGATGTTGCCAGCCACGGAGAAGCCACTGGGTATGAGATGCCTTGTCTCATTGTAGCAGCTAAAGATGATCTGGAGCCTTATTTGACCGAAATTCAAGATTCTACCAGGGTATCTATCCTTATCCTACATACCATCAAGAATTGAATATATTTTTTGTCAAGTAGTAATTTTATATTCAGGTTCAATGTATTTATCTCCTGACATTTTTAGTGAAATGCCTTTTACCTGCGTGACGTTTACTTTTGTGATTGCTGCACCATATCAAAACAATTTTCTTGAAGGGTGAAGCTCAGCTAGTACTGCTGCATGTGATTGAGTATATCCATGTTCCTGGTGTAATTTATCTTCTGTAGAGGCTAAACCTACATGATGTATTATCTTAAGTTGTTAGGCAGTGCACATTTTTAGTATAATTTGATATTTGCTAATATATTATGAATTTGTTTAATAGGTTAGCCAGGATTTAGGGATAGAAGCTCCTATACCCATCAGCACGAAGCTTGGGGATTTCAGTAATTTGTTCCGAAGGATAGTTAATGCAGCGGAACATCCACATTTGAGCATCCCTGAAACTGAAGCGGGAAGAAGCCGTAAGCAATATCATCGGCTCGTCAATCGATCTCTTATGTTTGTATCAGGTAACAATTTGATTTGATTTCTTTTTGGACCTTTAAGAACTTTTTACGGCTACCAAGTTACAGAAAACAAATAATTAGAACTAACGTTATTATGGGTTTCACCATGTATATTTCCTTGTTCTTGTGAAAAAAAAGATGTCCTTATCTTTGGAAGTTAACAGTTGATGATACAGCAGTTTCTTTTGGTTTTAGTAGGGCTGAAATTTATGTTCAAGACGGTTCAAGCGTCTTGATCATTTAGAACCTATACTTTGCTGCCGTCATGTCAAACATTTCCATTGGAAGAACACTTGAGAGCTATTGACTTTGACCCCCTGCGCTATTATTTGAACTTCAATGACCTAGAACGTAGTTCTAGATAAAGAAAATCACTGGGATGTAATTCTAACCTATAAATTAGTTGCCACTACTTTGTTATCCAAGTCAAAAAATATTTCCTTGGAATATTTGACGATTTTTTTTGTACAGGAAGTGTTTTGTGTTACAAACAACCTTCCAGAGTTTAAAAGCATCAAGCTTATAGTCCGAACTCTCTTCGTATTAGCAAAGTACCAACTGGCTGGGGTTAGAGGTCATTAGGGGATTTATCTAGTAGTAGATTGGAACGAGCACCCGTAGAATAAATATCATGTCTTTTTGGTTTGTCACCCAGCTAGGATGGTTTGCTTGGATTTGTCGTAGTTTATGGTTGAAGATGGTATGATGGTTCACATGTGGAGGGTACAAATTCTCTTTATATTCAGGCTTTCTTTAAATTTTATCATATGTCCAGATGCTTTGTCATCTTTCATTGTTCGACATGCAATTCTAACTCTATTGCTGTCACAGTTGGGGCTGCTGTAGCTGTTGTGGGACTGGCAGCTTACCGTGTTTATGCTGCGCGGAAGAATGCATCGAGCTGAGAATTGAGATGGTGTGATCATAATATGCCAGTCATGGTTTCAAATATCAAGTTTCTCTTGTCTGATCTCTTGTGCCATGGTTTATTGCTTGGTTTTCTGGTAGTGTGCATATCTCCGAATTCCAACATGGAGAAAAATGCAAATATTTTTGTGATCGCTGCTTTAGATCTGTTACATATTAGCGGCTTTTCTTTTGTAGCATCTCAATTAGAAAGTACTGGACGTGCCTTTTCTTTCGAAGTGGAGATGCCCCATTGCTAGCAGGGTTGATTTGCTGCGAAATAAAATGTTTAAAATAAACTTTGTTTAAGAAACTTGGAAGTAAACATGAAGCGACCTTTTTAGGGTTATATCGTATTTTAAGGAAAATTTTATTGAATTGTTGTAGGATTTTGTATTTTTGAAAAGTTGTCTAGCATTTCCCATAAAGTGAAGAGGTAATATCATCCAATTTCCTAATTTGCATTATTCACTTCAATTAAACTGCTATATAATCAGCCTTTATTAATTTTATTATTTGATTCTTCAACGTCTCTTGTGGAAGTTTTAGATAATCTTGCATTGATTAATATCCAAATTTTCTAGGAACAGTGAGGATTTGTGGGCCAGACCTATGTTGAAATTAAGAAACTAATATTGCTTGATGACCATTGCTATCTTGAACAGTAATGCAGACAGATCTATCCGTTTATGATATATATATATATATATATATGGTATCGAACAACAAACTTGTTACCCCCTTACCATAATTTTTACACTCACTGGGTTTCCTAACAGAAGAGGAAGAAAGTGGACCCAAGAGACGAGGCATCTTGGATATCAACACCAGGGGAAGAGGAGCGGCTAGCTGTAGGGCTAGTTATATTACAAAGAGAGCTTAGTAGCAATTAAACGGAGAGAATAATGTACTAATTAAGGCTGGGACATTGCAGCTGGAATAATGTCAAATTCCTAAATTAAGTAGCTTGTTTTGCACAATATATTGCTGCAGCATCTGTTGTTGACGACTTTCTGTTGTTTGAGTGATTCAGTAATGGAATTGCATTATATATATGACAATACAAGGCATCATTGTTTTGGCCCTTTAATTTGCTAAGATAATACGGCCACCGGCCTGAGTCGTTGTTGTGCGTTATCAAATTCCTAAATTAAGCACTTTGTTTAAAAATACTCTACTAGTACTTTTTATTCTTCCCATACAAGTTACGTACAACACAAAAAATTGAAAAAGAAAAAAATACTTAAAAATAAGTCATTTTGGATTAAAATGTATAATGGCAATACTTCTCCATTTCTCATCTTTCAAAGATTTCACTAATAAATTTAATCAATTATATAATTCAATTTATATACATGAAAAATATATTTTATCCAATAAATTATAAAAGCATTAATTCAATCCGCTAATCACTGCCAATTCACTAATTCTCTCCCATTAAAATTTAATACTATATATTTTTTTCTTCCCCCTGTATGTTTTTTTATCAAGATCTAGGAACATGAATACCGGGTTTAAGAATGATCATCGTTTCGGTGAAGATTTGGCGATGGAGATACTACAAAGGTTACCTGTGAAACCATTGTTGCGATTCAAATGCACGAGCAAGAATTGGTACAGTCTTATTAATAGCCATATGTTTATTGGTAAACAATTGAATTATCATGAAAGTAAGAATGAACTGAAAATGCTAATTCGTAGCCATGATTGCATTCCCGGAGTGGACATAATTTCGAATTCGGAAGGAACCCCTGTAATTGAAAATGCTGATCATCTGTCGAGTTTTCTTGCTAATACATATCAAATGGTAGGCCATGTGAAATGGCGTGTTTTTATTTAAAAAAGCATGTGGTGGATCTGATCGTAGAATGGGATTCTGGAATCCTGTAACAAGGTGGTTAACCACCCTCCCTGACGCCCATTTCCTGTTACAACCATTTTTCAATGAAACGGATGGGTTTGCCGGGTTTGAATTAGACCCTTTTACAGGTAACTACAAGGTGATTTGGGTTCGCCAGTTCTCTGATGGTAACTGTGATTCTTCGTTTCATCGAGCATATGCAGCGGTTTATTCCTCTTCTAAAGGCTCTTGGAGATTTATTAAACATAAAGATCACAGAATTCTCACTACCTCTGGTTGTTACTCCTGTAGTTATCCCAATTCAACTGGTTACCTTAATGGAGCTTATTACTGGATGATCACGTGGGCTGCTGACTGCGGCCTTCTTTCATTTGATTTTGACAATGAGGTGTTCCGTGAGATTTCAGGGCCAGATGTTCCATATAGTGATCGTCGTCAATACAACGTCATATTGATTGATGGCTCTATTCACTTTTTGATCAAAGATGACATGAGCATAGACTTTGGTTTGTGG